ACAGACGTGGAGCGTAGGGGCTGCTCTGACCAGGAGAGGTCACTGCTTAGTAAAGACGAGACAAATTACCGAAATACAAAATGATTTTGAAAATATGGGACAATTAACAGTCTGTTGCTTGGAAATTAAGAGAAGACTGGAGGTGAGGCCAGAAGTGGGGTGAGGAGGCAGGAGAGGAAGAAGTCAGTCGGGTTTGGGAGGAACAAGAGATGAACGACATGGAAAGGGAAACCGGAGAAAAGATGGGTCATGGCGGGGGCCAGTGGGTCTGGGACCTGGATGAGAAAGGCGAGGGGTGACGTTGGCACACATTGTGGGCAGCGTTTCCAACACTTGCATCTCAGGTGATGGAGAGCACCCCGTCGCGGGGTGGACTGAACCGAGCACACCTACAGTGCAGGAACCTGCAGGAGTTCCTTGGGGGCCTGAGCCCTGGGGTGCTGGACCGACTCTACGGGCACCCTGCCACCTGTCTGGCTGTGTTCAGGTGAGGCTGCCCGTCCTGACAGGCACCATGGTGGGCATTGCAATGGGCCTGCAGACTGGGGCAAGTCATCATGGGTAGGAGCATAATTCTAAGGGGCTTGGAGATTAAAGTGTATCAGGTCAAAACAGATGGTGTTTGTGGGACGGCGAGACGGGTAAGGCTGTGGGGGTGAGAGGCTGAGGTGCGGGTGGAGAGCAGTTGCTGACACTAACATTTTGTCTCTGCCCCCTGCAGGGAGCTCCCGTCGTTGGCTAAGAACTGGGTGATGCGGATGCTCTTTCTGGAGCAGCCTTTGCCGCAAGCTGCTGTGGCCCTGTGGGTGAAGAAGGAATTCAGCAAGTGAGTCTGCTGCATTCTCAACAGCTAGATTTCCCAAACTGCTGTTCCCGGGGACATTTTCAGGAATAGTAATGGGTACAGCACAAAACTTGTAACTGAATGAGTCTGGGAAGCTTGGCATGCTGATTTCCCTCGGGGAGAGTTGTGATGTCTGTAACGAGGCTCTGGTAAGTGCTGCAGCACAGAAATTTGCCTTAAGAAGACACTGATTCACCCAGAAACAGTGACCCAAGGAACGCCAGTTCAGAAAAGGTAGGAATGGAGGCCATTCTGAGCCTCCTTTTTTTGTTCTCCAGACACCCCCTCACTCTCTGTTTCTGTGTCAGAGCTCAGGAGGAAAGTACAGGGCTGCTGAGCGGCCTCCGGATCTGGCACACGCAGCTGCTTCCTGGTGGTCTCCAGGGCCTCATCCTCAACCCCGTCTTCCGCCAGAACCTCCGCACTGCGCTTCTGGGTGGGTATGTCCTTCCTGATCTTCCTGAGCCGGGCCAGGGCCTCCGGACCTGAGGGCCTCCTTCGGGAGTCCCTTTAGGAATGAGTCGGGCCGGGTGTGGCTCACAGCATGGGGAAGACCTCCCACTCATGGCCCCTGGGGACGAGGGTGGAAGGAGGGCAGAGGGTGGGCATGGGACACAGGCAGGGCTCCTTACTCTTGGCCTGTCCGGGCGTAGGGGCAAGGCCTGGTCTGATGACACAAGTCAGCTGGGACCAGACAAGCATGCCCGGGACGTCCCCGCGCTGGATAAGTACGCCGAGGAGCGATGGGAGGTGAGGCCTGGGGGCTCTGTGTGTCTCTGCTCGTGCTCCTTCCTGTGGGCCCTCGAGGCATCTGCTCTCTCCCCTCCCTCAGGTGGTCCTGCACTTCATGGTGGGCTCCCCCAGTGCCGCCGTCAGCCAGGACTTGGCTCAGCTCCTCAGCCAGGCGGGGCTGATGAAGAGGTGAGGAAGCCAAAGGCACGACAGTGCCCTGCTTCGCCTGCCTTTGCCTGCTGAACGGAGTGTCTGGGAGGTCAGGAGTGGAGGGGCTTGACTGAAAAAGGAGAGTTGAATGGAGTGCGGCCAGAGATGAACCAGAAGGCGTGAGAGGACCAGTGGGGATTGTGGCCTTTCTCTGCACGCCTCTCCCATCCCTCTCCCGCCCCCAGTGCTGAGCCTGGAGAGCCGCCGTGCATCACCTCTGCTGGCTTCCAGTTCCTGTTGCTGGACACCCCCGCCCAGCTCTGGTACTTCATGCTGCAGTACCTGCAGACGGCCCAGGTGAGGGGCGGCTCTTCCCAAGGCCCCCTCCGAGGCTGCTGCCAACAGACAGCTCCCTGACCCTCCGCTCCTTGTCTCTGCCCACCCTCCTCAGAGTCGGGGCATGGACCTAGTGGAGATCCTCTCCTTCCTCTTCCAGCTCAGCTTCTCTACTCTGGGCAAGGTATGCAGGGGCTGGGGCCGGGGGTCTGGGTGGGCGAACTGAAGGGGTGAGATGGGACGGGGAAGTGAGGCTGTGCGGCCAGAGATGGGAAAAGAGAGCGAGTGGGTGGGCTTGGCAGGGAGAGAAGGGGAGGTGTTTCGGACCCCAGCTGGCTACCTCTTCCCCAGGATTACTCTGTGGAAGGTATGAGTGATTCTCTGTTGAACTTCCTGCAGCATCTGCGTGAGTTTGGGCTTGTTTTCCAGAGGAAGGTATGAGCACCCAGACACAGGGCTTCTAGGGAAGAGATGGGTCCATGTTGCCAGGGCCTTTAGAAAGGAGAGGGCCTTCGCGAGGCAGCAGAAAGCAGTTGCCAGACTGAATACTTGGGTCCCTTGAGAGAGAAGTTGGGTGGGGCTCTGTGCACTGGGAGGGATCGGGTGTCTCAAGAAGGAAGGCATGACACCTGAGGGCCCTCTGCCTTTCCCTCCACCCTTCCCAGAGGAAGTCTCGGCGGTACTACCCCACGCGCCTGGCCATCAATCTCTCATCGGGTGTTTCTGGGGCGGGGGGCACTGTGCATCAGCCAGGCTTCATTGTCGTGGAAACCAATTACCGGCTGTACGCCTACACAGGTGAGGCGACAGAGGCCCTGGGAGAGCAGGTTGGGATGGGAGTGGGGAGGGAAGGAGGCTGGAGGAAATGTCAGTTTTTTTCAGTTTACCCAGCAGTGTACAGTTTTCCGACACTTCCGATCACACATGAGGGCAGGGCTGAGGGAGCCTGGGTGCAGGGCAGCCTCCTCATCCTCTCTTCCCATCCCCGGTCAGAGTCGGAGCTGCAGATTGCCCTCATTGCCCTCTTCTCTGAGATGCTCTATCGCTTCCCCAACATGGTGGTGGCGCAGGTCACCCGGGAGAGCGTGCAGCAGGCCATCGCCAGCGGCATTACAGCCCAGCAGGTAGCCCCGCTTGGGGGGTGTGGCGGGAAGATGGGATGCGCGTGGACTGTGTGGTCCCCTTAGAGAAGGCCAGCACCAGGTCTGGTGCAGTGGGTGGTGTGGCTTGCCTGCTTGAGCATAGAGCAGGCACATGAGGAGAAGTTGAGGCTCTAGGCGTGGGAAAGACTGGAGGGACGAGGGATAGCTCTGGATCTGTGTCTTGGCACCACTACTTCCTAGCTCAGGGATGGGCAAACTTTTTGACTCGAGGGCCACAATGGGTTCTTAAACTGGACCGAAGGGCCGGAACAAAAGCATGGATGGAGTGTTTGTGTGAACTAATATAAATTCAAAGTAAGCATCATTACATAAAAGGGTACAGTCTTTTTTTTTTTTTTAGTTTTATTCATTTCAAACGGGCTGGATCGGGCCCGCGGGCCGTAGTTTGCCCACAGCTGTCCTAGCTGCATAAACAGGCTAGGTGCTTCGTTTCTGAGCCTCAGTTTCCTTATGTGGGAAATGGGAATCCTGAGTTTTCAGCTCGCTGGATGGTGGGGAGGATTCAGTGAGAGAGCAGCAGTGAAACATTGAGCTCAGAGCCTGCCACACAATAAGTGCTGCTATTTTAAAGAAAAACAAAATAAGACTGTGCAAAGGGCAGATGAAATGGCAGACATGGCCCGTGGGAACAGCAACTTGGGACAACAGCTGAGCAGGGAACGGGCTGATGACAGCCCGCTGGCTGAGAGTTTGTAAGCAGTGAGTTGATGTTCCGTTGACATAGGTGATGGCCGAGGGAGTTTTCCTGCCCTCTTATTCAAGCCCTTGATTTCATTCTTCTCTGTTGTTTTAGATCATCCATTTCCTAAGGACAAGGGCCCACCCAGTGATGCTTAAACAGGTACAGACAGGTACCACGTGCTGGAGGCTGACAGCCCTGCACTGGTGACGAAGCGCAGGAAAATCTGGGGGACGCGTGGAGGGCTGGGTCCTCTGGGGCAGTGTTCCAGAATCTCACAGTCACCCCCTGGCCCTGCAGACACCTGTGCTGCCGCCCACCATCACAGACCAGATTCGGCTGTGGGAGCTGGAAAGGGACAGACTCCGCTTCACCGAGGGTGAGTGGCTTTGGTGGCTGATCCTTAGCCTTTGGCCAGAGGAAGGACAGTTCCGTCTTGATGACCTGAAAAAGCTATTGATGCATTTTTTGTTTTGTCTTGCTGACAAGACACTTTATTTCCGGGCGAGTCTCAAATCTGTGCAATTTGGGTTTAATTAGAAGAGGGAACTTGGGAGGGGTCACCTCTCTGGTTTTGGTGAGCATTATGGGTTTTCTTACTGCACTGTGTTACCTCCCTGAATACGGTTGGGGGAGCCAAGGAAGAGACTTAGAGGGCTACATTGATATGGTGGGCGGCCTGGGGCGGGGGCTCAGGGCTGCCTCCTCTCCCCCAGGCGTCCTGTACAACCAGTTCCTGTCGCAAGTGGACTTTGAGCTGCTGCTGGCCCACGCGCGGGAGCTGGGCGTGCTGGTGTTCGAGAACGCGGCCAAGCGGCTCATGGTGGTGACGCCTGCGGGGCACGGCGACGTCAAGCGCTTCTGGAAGCGGCAGAAGCACAGCTCCTGACGCGGGCGCCCGACGCCCCGAGGACTTGGGGGAACTGCACGTGGGGACGCTACTGTTCAATAAAGTCGGAAAGCGCTCCTAGCGGCCCGGCCCCTCCCTCTCGCCTCCCCGCCCCCGCGCGCGCCCATTGGCCGGGAGGGGAGAGGAGGGGCGGGGCCGCGGCTGCCGCGCATGCGCCCGCCGAGCTCTGCCCCCTGCGCCGCGCGGCCGCGGGTCCAGTTCCGGTAGCCCAGTCCTCGGCGTCGCCGCTGCGGGGCGCCCTGGGGCCGGGTGGGCGCGCGGGGCTGGGGCGCGCGGCGGCGCTGGGCAGGCCGAGGTCGCGGTGGCTGGCCGGATTCCTGCTGGCTCGGCGCGCCGGGGCGGCCATCTCCCCGAATCCCCGAGCCCTTCACCTTCCCGCGTGTCAGCGGTCACCCCCTCTTCGCACGTGCGTAGATCGGGGGCCAGAAACTGACCCTCCCCCGGGAGAGCGCTCCTCGTGGCTCCGCGTCCGGTTGCCGGGACGGGCCCCCTGGTGCTGGCGGGCGCTGTGCGGGGTGGGAGGGAGTAACGCAGGCTGGGAGGAGGCGGGAGTAAGGCGGACCAGGGGTGTGACCCGCCGCGCGCCCTGTCCTCAGTGCCTGTCCAAGCCCTGCTGATGCCGCACCTGCCTCGGGCCTCTTTCCGGCCCTGGGGGCTGAGGCCCTCGCGGGGCCTCCCCGGGTCCCATGCCCTTTCTACCCAGTCCGAGCCCTACGGGTCCCCCACCTCCCGGAGGAACCGCGAAGCCAAACAGAAACGCCTGCGAGAGAAGCAGGCGGCGCTGGAGGCCGGGCTAGCCGGGAAGAGCAAGGTTGGGGTCGCCCTGCTTGTCCTTGGGTGCCCGAGAGACGTGGGCGGGGCTGGCGGGGAGACTGGACCCCAGGTGCCTGGTTGCACCGGGAACTGCAGCCCCTCCCTCCCTCCCTCCCCTCAGGCACCTGCAGAATCCAGTAAGGCCTGGACTCCTAAAGAAATAGTGTTGTATGAACTCCCCACGGAACCCGGCGAAAAGAAAGGTAGCTAGAAGCTTGCTCTCCCGTCGCCCATCCGGTCTGCTGAAATGCAGGGGACTTAGGAGCTCTGCCGCCTCCACAGATGTCTCCCGGCCCCTGCCGGCTGCCTACAGCCCCCGCTACGTGGAGGCGGCCTGGTACCCTTGGTGGGTGCGAGAGGGCTTCTTCAAACCCGAGTATCAGGTCTGTACTGGCGGGGAGTCCCCGAGGTGGGCAGGCTGAGTCCCCAAGGCCAACTCATGGGAGAGCTTGTCTCCTGCTCCAGTGTCCCCACACATCCTCTGGGCAGGTCCCCTGCCCTGGCCCTGTTACTTGCAGTCCTTTATGCCCTGGGGACAGCAGAGGGAGCTGTTCACCCAGGTAAGGGCCAGCCCTCTCTTGCCCTTTGCCTTGGCTCCTAGACCAGGCTGCCCCAGAGCACCGGGGAGACCTTTTCCATGTGCATCCCCCCGCCCAACGTCACCGGGTCCCTGCACGTCGGGCACGCACTGACTGTGGCCATCCAGGACGCGCTTGTGCGCTGGTGAGGGGAAGGGGGCTGCTTGAGTTTCGGGAGGGGGACGGGAAGGGGAGGAGGGAGGATAAATGTGTAAGCTCAGGGCTTCGCGTGTGCGTGTTTCTGTTGCAGGCACCGGATGCGCGGGGATTGCGTGCTGTGGGTCCCTGGCTCAGATCATGCAGGGATTGCTACCCAAGTATGTCTCTTGCCACTGTTTCCTTTGCTCAGGTGCAAGACACCCGATTCACTGTCTGCCCCTCATCTCCTAGGCTGTGGTGGAGAAGCAGCTGTGGAAGGAGCGGGGGCTGAGGAGACACGAGATGGGCCGGGAAGACTTCCTCCGGGAGGTGTGGAAGTGGAAGGAGGAGTGAGTGCCAGGCGCAGGGGTCGAGATCATGGGTTTGGGACCTTGCTTCCCAGCCTCTCTCCCGGCTTGTGGTTGCTCTTCCCATCCCCCTCATTCCCCTAACTTCCAGAGACTTGAGCTCTGGAGCCTCTTAGTGTTTGGTGGGGTCTCCAAGCTCTGCACCTGTGCGTCTGTGTGTGTGTGTGTGTGTTTGTGTGATACAGTAAGATGTGCTTATTGATGTATGTGTATGTATATACACTCACACGCTCCCACTGGTCCCATTTTCCTGGCCTAGACTTTATCATCTCCCACTCACCCACTGCCACCTTCCCTCTGCTTGACCTGCCCTTGTGTCCCCAGGTCGGCTAGCACATGCCGTCTCCTCTGCAAAGCTGCTCTGGGTTTCCCACAATTCGGCTGCCCTCTTATAGAGCTTTATGCTTTTAAAGTATATTTTTATTAATTTCAGAGAGGAAGAGAGAGGTAAAAACATAAATGGAGAGAGAACCATGGATCGGCTGCCTCTTGCACACCCCACACTGGGGATCAAGACTGCAACCTGGGCACATGCCCTGACTAGGGATCGAACCGTGACCTCCTGGTTCATAGGTCGATGCTCAACCACTGAGCCACACCGGCTAGGCTGTGCTTTTTTGATGTTCTAGAAGTCTCCATACTGTCTACATTAGCTTCCAGAGGCTGGACCAATGCTGCACTCCTCCCAGCCCCCAGCGTGGCTGGGTGTCCCTGGGCCTGGTCGTTGGTGCTCGGGACATGTTTGCTGACAAACCTCTCTGGGCACAGGAAAGGGGGAGAGATCTGTGGGCAGCTGCGAGCTCTGGGGGCCTCCCTGGACTGGGACCGAGAGTGCTTCACTATGGACGCAGTGAGTGTGCCCTCAGGCCCTGTGGGGTGAGAGGGGTTTAGAGATTGCGAGGGTGGCGGGTGGCGGTGTGTCGGGGTAGCAGGGTGGGAGGGCAGGGCCCCGAACAGGGCGGCGGGCTGAGAAGGGGCTGTTGGGTGTGGACACTCGACCATCCTAGGGCTCCTCAGTGGCTGTGACGGAAGCTTTCGTGCGACTCCACAAGGCAGGGTTGTTGTACCGCAGCCGGCAGCTTGTCAATTGGTCGTGCGCTTTGAGGTCAGCCATCTCGGATGTTGAGGTGAGGCGGGGAAGAGAAGGGGCCGCGGGGGAGCGCGTGGCGGGTGGAAGCCCAGAGTCTGGAGCCAGCCTGCCCGACTCAGTCCAAGTCCTGCCGTCAGCGGCTCTGAGCCTCAGTTTTCGCAATCTGAACATCAGGGCTGATGGGAAAGCGCTGGGGTGTTGTGAGGATGGAGTGAGGCCTCCTGGGAGGTGTCAGCACAGCACCTGTGTGGCTGTGCTCAGTGACTGTCCACGGCAGCTGCACTGCGCAGTGCTAGGTGAGGGCCCGGAGGTGGCACCCCGCCCTCTGAAGGCTCCCGTAGATGCGCTGCAGGGAGGCTGGGCGGGTGGGGAGTGGGGGTGGGAGGCCAGGGTGGGAGCCTTGCACGGGGCTGCTCTCAGACCCTGCTTCATCCACCCGCTAGGTGGAGAGCCGGTCCCTGCCTGGCCCCACAGAGCTTCGGCTGCCTGGCTGCCCCACCCCTGTGTCTTTCGGCATCCTGGTCTCTGTGGCCTTCCCCGTGGATGGAGAGCCTGGTGAGGCAGTCTGAGAAGGGCCACCCACTCACCTCTGCCTCCCTGTTTTTTCGAGCCCATGTGGGCCTGGTGGGAGGGGCGTGAGGAACCTGGTCGTGTTCGTGTTCTGTGGGCATTTAGCCTGGCTCCTGGGCCCTGGGAGCTCAGAGTAATTCTGCAGGAGGCTGGCCCGGGGGAGACAGGTCGGTTCTGGAGTGGGGTGCGGACAGGAGGTGCGCTGTTCCTGCGGGGCTGGTAGATGAGCTGGAGTGTCAGAGGGTGTTTGTGGTGGGAGGCGCACAGCGTTTGTGATTGGGGCCGACTGTCCCCGGGTCCCCTGGGCCCCGTGCCTTTCCGAATGTCCATCCCCATTTCTGCCAGGAATTCCAGGCACTGCCTCTGTCCCAGGCTCCTCATGTCTCGTTATTTCAACCTTGACTGCTCCTGCCCCTCCCTTTTCCAGTCCTCCTGCCTTCAGCTATGTCTGGGGTGAGGGTGAGAATGGCCACTAGCTGGACGTGCTTGAATTTTACCCTCAGACGCAGAGGTCGTGGTAGGGACCACGAGACCAGAGACATTGCCTGGAGACGTGGCAGTGGCTGTTCATCCCGATGACGCCCGATACACAGTAATGCCCTGCCCTGCCCTGCCCTGCCCCTGGCCATCCTGCCCACAGCTTCCTCTCCCCTCCGTCCCCATGGCGGCGCCTTCTCTCCAGCTTCCACCGGCTCAGCCCTCCAGGGGCTCTGAGGCTGCCCGGTCTCTTCTCGATGTCGCACTTTTCCTCTCGCTGGGGTTGACCAGGTCTGGCGGGGGCAGATCCGCGCTGCCTGTCCGTGCGCCTACCTTGAGGCAGGTGGAGGAGCCAGAGGCTGCGTTGGCCCCTTGGCCGGCAGAGCCTACAGTAGTCACCCCCCTCCCAACCCCTTGAGAAACGGTGGCTGACCCCTCTGGCTCTTGACTTGGTCCTCCCCCCTTATTCTCAGGGCTCTCCCGCCCTGCCCAGGCCTTTCTGCTCACATGTGCCTGTCCTTGCCCCTCCTTCCCTTCAGCATCTACATGGGCGACACCTTCGTCACCCCTTGACAGGGCAGCTTCTCCCGCTCGTCACAGACTCTGCTGTCCAGCCGCACGTGGGCACGGGTGAGTGCCACAGGGAAGCCGGGAGCTGGGGATGGGGACCGGGAGGAGGAGGAAAGGCGGGAACCCATATGGAGTTGTCTGGGTGGTGGCGTCACAAAGGGGAGGCACAGAGGAGGGAGGGCTGGGAGGCATGGGCCACGATGGACAGCCTACGCCTGGTCGGCCTCCGTGCTCACGGGCTCTGCTCCCCAGGGGCAGTGAAGGTGACTCCAGCGCACAGCCCTGCTGACGCCGAGCTGGGGGCCCGCCACGGCCTGCGCCCCCTGAGTGTCATTGCGGAGGATGGGACCATGGCCCCCGCCTGTGGGGACTGGCTGCAGGTGGGACCGGCTACTGTTCCCCACCCTGTGGGGGCACCCCCCGCCCCGTTCTCCTTTCCAGGGAGGCCTTGAAGCTTTGCTGCCCCTTTTCCAGGGTCTGCACCGCTTCGTGGCCCGGGAGAAGATCCTGTCCGCGCTGAGGGAGCGGGGCCTGCTCCGGGGCCTCCAGAGCCACCCCATGGTGCTGCCCATTTGCAGGTGAGCCTCCCGGGAGGGCGTGGGGGCTGCACCCCTCGGGCTGGAACGCAGGCCTGCGTCAGTGTCACTGGCTGCTGTGTCCTCAGGGCGGGCCTGGCGCGAGGCCAGGGCTGGGCCGGGCTCAACCCTCTCCCTTTCAGCCGCTCGGGGGACGTGGTGGAGTACCTGCTGAAGAGCCAGTGGTTCGTCCGCTGCCGGGAGATGGCGGCCCGCGCTGCGCAGGTGAGGAGGGACGCTGGGCAGATGCAGAATCAGGACGCTGTGGGCAGGGAGGCGCCGTGGCCCAGAGGGCCGGCTCGTGTCCTCACTCAAGCCCAGCGTCTTCTCAGGAGGTTTGGGAGGTCCCTTGGAGCTGGAGAAGCAGAGGGTGGGCCGGGCGGGAGCACTGTGAAGCGTCTCCCGCAGGCTGTGGAGTCGGGGGCCCTGGAGCTGAGCCCATCCTTCCACCGGAAGACCTGGCGGCTCTGGTTCTCCCGCCCTGAGTAAGAGGGGCTCTGGGGGCGGGGCGGGGCGGGGCGGGGCGGGGGTGGCGCTGCTCCGGCTGAGAAGCCACTCCGCTCTGGCTCTGTGGCAGGGACTGGTGCGTCTCCCGGCAGCTGTGGTGGGGCCATCGGATTCCAGCCTACCTGCTCGTGGGGGAGCCCGGGAAGGTGGTAGGAGGCAGAGCGGGCGGGCGGGGCGGGGCTGAGCCCGAGTCCCAGGCCTGCCGGGGCTCAGGCCGTCTCTCCGGTGGTCCAGCCTCAGTCCTGTGACCTCCCTGCCCTGGCTCCCGGCCTGTATCTCCCTGCGGAGGCCCTGGGAGACCCAGGGACAGGCTTCCCGCCTGCGGCGGCTCCTCACGCGCCTCGTTCCGCAGGGCCACGGGGAGGACCGCTGGGTGGTCGGGCGGACGGAGGCTGAGGCCAGGGAGGCAGCGGCAGCGCTGACGGGGCGGCCGGGCGCGGAGCTGACCCTGGAGCGCGGTGAGGGCGGGGCCTGGAGGGGGCGGGGCCTGGAGGGGTGGAGGGAGCTGGCGGAGGGGGCGGGGCCTGGAGGGGTGGGGGGGCTGGCGGTGAGGGCGGGGCCTGGAGGGGTGGGGGGGCTGGCGGTGAGGGCGGGGCCTGGAGGGGTGGGGGGAGCTGGCGGAGGGGGCGGGGCCTGGAGGGGTGGGGGGGCTGGCGGTGAGGGTGGGGCCTGGAGGGGTGGGGGGAGCTGGCGGAGGGGGCGGGGCCTGGAGGGGTGGGGGGGCTGGCGGTGAGGGCGGGGCCTGGAGGGGTGGGGGGAGCTGGCGGAGGGGGCGGGGCCTGGAGGGGTGGGGGGAGCTGGCGGAGGGGGCGGGGCCTGGAGGGGTGGGGGGGCTGGCGGTGAGGGCGGGGCCTGGAGGGGTGGGGGAGCTGGCGGAGGGGGCGGGGCCTGGAGGGGTGGGGCGGGGGGAACTGGCGGGGAGGGCGGGGCTGAGCGCAGGCTAAGGGCCTAAAGCTGAGGTTCCGGTTCTGTTTGGCAGACCCCGATGTCCTGGACACGTGGTTCTCTTCAGCTCTTTTCCCCTTTTCTTCCCTGGGCTGGCCCCAGCAGGTGAGGCCCCTGGGGGGCCTGTCAGCAGAGGGAGGGTGGAGGTGAAGGACACGGTGGGCCCGAGTCTTGAGGAGATGGCGCCAGGGCCTCTTCCTGCTTGTCTTTTCCTCCCAGACCCCAGACCTCACTCGCTTCTACCCCCTGTCACTTCTGGAGACCGGCAGCGACCTCCTGCTGTTCTGGGTGGGCCGCATGGTCATGCTGGGGACCCAGCTCACGGGGCAGCTCCCCTTCAGCAAGGTAACGCCTTGTCGTGCCCTGTCCCTCGGTAGCTCGTGTCCCCAACCTTGTCCTCGCCCTGACCCCTGCCTTGGTGGTCTCCACCTCCCGATTCCCTCCCCACCCTCAGCCCTAAAGCCCACGGGGCCTCGGGAAGGCTCTCCAGGCCGCCTTCTGCCACCTTCCCGCCCCAGGTGCTTCTGCACTCCATGGTTCGGGACAGGCAGGGCCGGAAGATGAGCAAGTCCCTGGGGAACGTGCTGGACCCACGGGACATCATCCGAGGGGCGGAGCTGCAGGTAGGATGAGAGCTGGGCAGGGCTGGGGTTTGTGGGGGGAGGAGCCAGCTGGGGGTACAGAGGTGGGACCCTTGTAGGGGTGGGTCTTGGACTGAGGCAAGCGAATACTCACCTGTCCCAGGTGCTGCAGGAGAAGCTGAGGGATGGGAACTTGGACCCCGCAGAGCTGGCGATCGCAGCTGCAGCGCAGGTGTGTCCCTGGTGTCTGCCCCATCCGGCCTCTAGCTCACAGCCGCTGGCTTTCTCTGCGACCCAGGCTCCTGGCCCTGCAGCCTCATGGGCGTCTGCCACCCCTCCTCCCTCTGGTTGCAGAGAAAGGACTTCCCTCATGGGATCCCCGAGTGTGGGACAGATGCCCTGCGCTTCGCCCTGTGCTCCCATGGGGCCCTGGGTAAGCCAGGCAAGGTGTTGGGGTCGCAAAGAGGGGCTGGCAGGGCTGAGGACGCCCGGTGCCAGCGCGTCCGCCTGCATGCGCTCTCCTCTCTCCCTCCCAGCGGGGGACCTGCACCTGTCTGTCTCTGAGGTCCTGAGCTCCCGACATTTCTGCAACAAGGTCTGGAACGCCCTGCGCTTTATCTTCAGCGCCCTAGGGGAGAACTTCACACCGCAGCCTGCAGAGGAGGTGGGAGAGAGGTGCCTGGCGTGGGCTTGTCTGCCGTCTGAGGCGGAAGGCAGCCTCTGGAAGGAAAGGGAGGGGCGTGGAGTCGGAGTCGCCCTCCCGTGACCTGCAGCCTCTCTGCCTGCAGCTGTGCCCCGCGTCCCCCATGGACGCCTGGATCCTGAGCCGCCTGGCCCGCACCGCCCGGGAGTGCGAGCGAGGCTTCCTCACCCGGGAGCTGCCCCTTGCCACCCATGCCCTGCACCACTTCTGGCTCCACAGCCTCTGTGACGTCTACGTGGTGAGTGGGGCTGGGCCGGCGCGCTCTCCTGCAGGCCTGCCCCTCGTGCCCTGAGCGCGAGTGGTCCCCGGCAGAGCTCTCAGCTGGGTTCCCCATGGTCCCTTTGGTGAGGACGAAGATGACGAGCCAGGGAACCCTGACTCCCCTTCCCGGGGAGCGCCTGCCCTGCCTGCCGCCTGGGCGAGAGGAGGCGGGAGGTGGGGAGGCTTCTGAAGCAGTCGGACAGGTAGGCCCGGAGGTGGAGGGAGCTTCTTCCTCAGCCTCTGACTCGGTTCAGGCCGGGCAGCTGGGCACTGGGCTGGCCGGGGAGGAAGCACCATGGTCTGCACCCGGGTTCTCAGCTAAGGCCGCGGGAGGGCCAGCAGGTGCACGCGTGTCCCCTGCCCCAGCGTGGCCCCAGGCGGTGGGCGGTGGAAACGGGCGCTGCTTGTCCCGGGGATGCTGCTAGCTCAGGACGCTGCCCGAGCCCACTGCTTCTCCGTCTTAAAAACTCTGTCTTTTTGACGAGCAGAAAACTCAGTAGTTTTCTTCCTAAGTTAAACAACCTTCCTACGTTTTGATTACCCACCTACCTCTGAGAATCCTGCCTGGGGTTCCCCTTCTCATGGGACATCCGATGCGGTGCCCGCAGTCCTGGCTGTGGGCGGCCAGGGTGTGGCGTGACCCGCAGGCTTCCTCCCCAGGAGGCCGTGAAGCCGGGGCTGTCGCACGGCCCCCGCCCGCCTGGGCCGCCTCAGGTGCTGTTCTGCTGTGCGGACGTCGGTCTCCGCCTGCTGGCCCCGTTCATGCCCTTCCTGGCCGAGGAGCTCTGGCAGAGGCTGCCCCCCGGGCCGGGCGGCCCCCGCGCCCCCAGCATCTCTGTTGCCCCCTATCCCAGTGCCCAAAGCCTGGTGAGTCACACATCCCCGGGGTGGCCCGGGGCGGGGGTCTTCCGAAAGGGTTAGCTGTGGGTCACTAACAGCTGACACTTCACTGCGGAGGCTTTGGAGTTCTACAGCGCCTCGGGGAGCCCTGTTAGCACCGTGGGCAAGAGCGACCGTGCCTCAGTTTCCCCTGTTAAACCGGGATGGTAGCAGGCAGTGCCATGCTGTGATGAGGGTGGATGCTAGTAACAGGATGTCCCAAAGTCTCTGTGCAATTTTAAGCTTTAATAACCTGCAAAGGATGAATGCCGCAAACTTACCCAAAAATCATTTTCAAGCTTAATAGAGTTTTTAAATGATGTGTTTTATGAGTTATGTGCTTTTGTGAGTTTTGAATAATACGTTTTAAATGTTTTATTTTTGGTTGTTTGGTATCGTCAGTCGGAGCGACTGAACAGACAATAGCCACTGATCATCTAAGATCGTAGATGGTGCCCAGGTTTTGCGGGTGACATCCCTGAGGTGGTGCAGAGGCGCGGGTGGGCGGGGCAGAGCCAGGAGAGTTGGCGGGTCCCAGGAGCCTGCTGCTCAGCCCCAGTCTGGTCCCGCCTGCAGGAGCGCTGGCACCGCCCCCAGCTGGAGCAGCGCTTTTCCCGGGTCCAGGAGGCCGTGCAGGCGCTGAGGGCTCTCCGGGCCACGTACCAGCTCACCAAGGCCCGGCCCCGAGGTGAGGCGTGGTGTGGGCTCCCAGTGCCTGCGGGAGAAGCAGCAGCTGGCGAGGCAGGGGGAGCGCTTGGGGCAGGCCTTGACCCTGACCGGCCCCTTTCCCCCAGTGCTGCTGCAGAGCTCCGAGCCTGGAGAGCAGGGTGTCTTCGAGGCCTTCCTGGAGCCACTGGGCACCCTGGGCCGCTGCGGGGCTGTGGGCCTCTTGCCCGCAGGTGCAGCCGCCCCCTCCGGCTGGGCCCAGGCCCCGCTCAGTGACAGCGTTCAGGTCTACATGGAGCTGCAGGTGCCCAGAGGAGCGGGGAGCAGGGGAGGGTCAGAAAGGCTGTGGGGCGGAGGGCAGGGCAAGTTCTGTCAGTGAGGAGGGTCTTCGTGTGGGAGGCGCAGGGCGGCCGCAACGCCTCTGTCCTCTGCAGGGCCTGGTGGACCCGCAGGCCCATCTGCCTCTGCTGGCTGCCCGAAGGCACAAGTTGCAGAAGCAGCTGGACGGCCTCGTGGCCCGGACCCCGTCAGAGGGGGAGGCCGAGGCTCGGCGGCAGCAGAGGGTGAGGCTGGGAGGCTGCCCAGGGAGCCCGCCTCCCGAGGGAGGGTGGAAGGAGGGTGGAGGGAGGGTGGGCCTCCTGCGGATCCTTACTGCTTCTCGCCCGTCCAGCTTTCTTCCCTCCACCTGGAATTGTCGAAACTGGACCAGGCGGCCTCTCACCTCAGGCAGCTAATGGCGGCGTCTCCCAGCCCCAGGGAACCGTGAGCTCTCGCACCTGGCGCTTCTCCGCCGCCAGACCTGCCTGTGAGGACAGACTGATCCTGCAGCCCCCGGCAAGGGGGCCTCGGAACCCATGTGGTGCCCCTGGCTCCCGGGAGCAGACCAGCGTGGCCACTCGACGCTCGCACTCCTGCCGCTGCCCCGTGCAGCCCCACCTGGGAGCTTGGGCACGAGGAAGGCAGATAAACTTAGTCTCAAACGCGTCTGCCTGTGGTTCTTTTGTCCCTCTTTCCCCCAGTGGTGACTCTTGTCTCTCACTTGTCCCCGAGGTTCTTGCCGGGACAGGAGGGTGCCTCTGCCTCGGCTCGGGCCGCCTGGCTGGGGGGAAGCGGAGCTTTCTCGTGTGGGCACAGTGACACAGTCCACTGCTGCCCGGGCTGCTGACAGTGCCGCTGCTCCTGCCTGCCCTTCCCCACGTCCTTGCCCCTCTGGTGGGGGCTGAGAGGAGCAGGGACTTCTTCCAGGCCGGAGGGGCTGCCGGGAGCGCGCCCCACTCTGCTGAAATGCGTGCATGGACGCTGCCCGGCCCTGACAGGCGCACAGATACGCAGACGCCCACCGCCCACCCCAGCTGCTGCCTCGTGGCAGTGGAGTTCAGGGCCTGGCCCTTCCAGGCCCAATTCCATGGTGGCCACTCGCAGCTGGGCCCGCCCTGGTGCTGCTGAACCCTGAGACCTCAGAGGTGGGGGCGTTCTCTCCATTTCTGAGATGAAGGAATGTGCTCAGAGATTAAAAGTAGTTTGTGTAAAAAGTATCACCTGGGATTTAGCCCAGTGACTTACATGCAGTTCTTTCTGGTGCTGTAGCCGAGCTTCACGTGTGTGGCGGCCCTGCGCTGGCGGCCGCTCCTCCTCCGCTCTACACTTTCTAACTAGATCTAACATCTGCCCGGCCCCACCAGCACCTCCACATGCCCGCCCAGAGCGAGAGGAAGCGGCGGGCAGCTTCCTTGTCTCTTCCCCAGCGGCACCAGGTATTGCTTCAGCACCTGCTCTGTGCTGGGCCCTGTTCTGCACCCTTGGATTCACCAGTGAATGAATGAAACCAAGATCTCTGCCCGGTAGTACTTTGGTTCTAACAGGGAAAGTCAGAAATGGCATAAGTACGTAATATGTAGTGTGTCTGAAGGTCGTGAAAGCTGGGGGAAGGAAGGGGGTAGGGGCCTGGAGAGCAGGTTGTAGTACTAAGATGGGTCAGGTGGGAGTCATTGCAGGAGGCGAGGACGTCTGGGAGTGGGTGTCGGGGAGCTGCGAGCTCGGGGAAGGAGAGTGGGTAGAGCATGTCTGGGGAACTCTGAGTGCCGGGGCTGAGTGCAGTGCGGAGTGCTGGGTGCGGAGGGGAGGAAGGCTCAGGAGGGTTCTGTAGGGTGGTGCTGTTCAAAATGGTAGCCATTTGGCTGTCTGAAGTAATTTACAAAGTTCAGCGTTCAGGTCTTACATCAGGCCTGACAGCCACCTGTGGCTGGTGGCTACCGTGTCGCTCAGCACAGGCTCCAAAGCATTTCCATCAGGAAGTCCTATTGGAAGTGCTGGTCCAGGAGCTTGTTGGCCGTTGTAAGGGCTTTGCTGCCTTGGAAGTTGCCTACTTCCTTTCCGCTTGCATCCTGTTGGACCCCAACCACAGCCATTCCTAGCTGCGAGGGAGGCCGGAGACGGCCAAGCCAGGTGCCCAGCTGAAGTTCACATTGGCTGTCCAAAAGGAGGAGCGTGCTTACCACCCCAGGGCTAATGAACCCCAAAGCATTCTTTGCACTGATGTCGTGAGTTTGGGGAGAGAATTTTTAGAGAAAAGCATCTGGAAGTCATAGCCCCGTAGTCTCAGGTCCTGAGATCTAAGAACCAGGCTCTGAAGCAGTCAGTCTGCTCCAGGCACTTGGGGATCCAGACTGCTAGTTCCCCAGCTTGTTTGGGCCAACACAGAGGTGCCACTGCCCACCGTGCAGGCAGGTCGGGGGCGAGTCATGACATAGGGGTCCTTCGGGCCCTCAGCCACCGCTCCTCTGGGCTAACTCCCAGGACAGGTGCAGCGGGAACGTGGGGGATTGAGTTTGTCTTCACTCTCCCACTTCCTATGCTCCCCTCGCTTCAGGGGCTCCTCACTCCAGAGCAGCCGGCGCTCATTTCCTAGGTGCTGACGGTGTTGGGTGGGTGGACAGGAGGCAGGCGGGCACTGTGAGAGCAGGAAGCAATCCTGTCCACACCCCAAGCGGGCAGGGCTTGGCGGCCTGCTTGCAGTTTGAGACAGCTGGTAAGAAGTCAAGACGGTCTTCTGCGGACCCAAGGATCCCGGGTTCAATTCTGATCAATCCCGGGCACGTACCTTGGTTGCAGGCTCCTTCCCGACCTGGGCCCTGGTTGTGGCACATGCAGAAGGCAACCAATTGATGTGTTTCTCTCACTTAGATATTTCTGTCTTTCCCTTTCTCTTCCACTCTAAAAATTAATGGAAAAATATCCTCGGGTGAGGATTAAAAAAATAGAAGTCAAGACGGTCTCAAGTGGGGAGTCAGGTGAGCCTTCCTCGAGGAAACGAGGGGGACGCCTGCAGCCTGATGGGACCGGCTTTCCACCCTAATAACCACCCCCGCCGCTGGCCCTTCTCTGGCAGGCACGCGGCATGTGCCCAGGTGGCGGGTCCGTGTGGCCCTCAGCAATCCTGCGAGGCAGGTGCTGGCGGAGTCCCATTTGCAGGTGGAGACAGGCAGGCTCCATGCGGGTGAGAAACACCCAGGACTCAAGTGTGGTCTGTGTGGCTGCCCCCCCGCCCCGGGGCCAGTGGCCACCCTGTCGTCAGTGGAATCCCTCGCCTCTCACCTGAGCTGCCTCCCTCCACCCTCCACCCGATGGACCTGGGTGGACCCCTGGGTCAGGGAGCTCATGTCCTGGGGGTGTCTGTCCACATCCCTGTCAGGCTCTGAGCCCCCAGCCTCAAAGCTAAAGCAGAGGGAGATGCTCTGAAGCCCAGGTATCTGGCGTGACCTCGCCACCGCTAATGGGCCACAGGGGTGCAGCCTGAGCGCTAAGCCTCAATGTCCTGTCTGTGAGGTCGGTTAATGAAGTCCATGCGGCTGCAGGCACTGACTCGGGCACGCGCCTGGGACCAGACGGACTCAAAATGGACTCAGTTGCGCCCTCGTCCCTGGTGTTCTGAAGACCTCACCGGAAGTCTGCACCATGGCAAATGCAACTCTCAGCACTTGTCTCAGCCATCTATGGCCATAGTCACGCTGTGTAACAAACCACCCAGAACGCAGCGGCTTCAAACACACATCTCTTCAGCTCAAGAGCGTCGGTGGGTCAGCGATTCAGGCCTCAGTGAGGCTCCCTCCCATGACCTGGGTTTGGCAGGCCTTCGGCTTGGGGCTCGGCTGCCCGTGTCTAGGTCCTCCTCCCAGCAGGCTGGCTGGTCGTGTTCTCGTGGTGACAGTACAGATGCCAGGGCAGAAAGGGCCCCCTGCAAGCACTCTGCTTAGGTCAGAACCTGGGCCAAACTCAGGACTCGGGGCTGGGGAGACTCACGCCATCTCTCAATAGGGGACTTCAATAAGTCACGCCCTCAGGCTGCGAATTCACCGAGAGAGTGAACAGGCAGAGCCCTTCACGCAAACAACTCACCTCAGGACTCCGCAGCCCCTGCCGATCACTTGAGTTCACAACCTGTTTGCCATCACAACTATGAGTGCCTCTGGTCCGGGTCCCGTCTCATCCAGGTGTCCGGGTTTTGCTCTCCAATCTCTCATTACCAGCCTCCAGGCTCCTCATCTTCTCCAGGCAGGAGGCCAGGTAGTCATTCAGGATTTGCCTCGCCTCCTTCTTGATCCAGATGCCCCTGATGCCTGCTAGACCCCAGACCACCCCCACAGCCAAGGCCCTGGACCCCCAGCTTCCCTGGAGTGGGACACGGAGATCCGGGAGCCCGAGTCCCTGGCGCCTGCGTGGATAGATGTTGGCCACGCTGCTGGCCATCGGGGCCGGGCCGGTGGCTGTGTGACTGCCCGGAGCCCAGGCCCGGGAGTTGGGTGCTGGAGAAGCTGCAGTGGGTGCTGAAGCTCATGTTGTTTGCGGAGGAAGGTGAGAGGCCAAGGCTCAGGTTCAGGCAGCTCTACCTTGGAGACTTTCTTTGGTTTTTTTGTTGTTTTTTTAGTGGATTCATTTTTTAAAATTATGGTTGAAGAATCGATTTAGATTTGTGATTTTAAACTGAACGTTTATTGTTTAGAAACAATATTGGAATATTTAGGATACATGTTACTTATAAGTTGAATTGGTTAAATTTACCCACTTGGGTAAATAAGGAGTTAGTTAAGTAATTGGAAGGTTTTTTGAGTCAGAAAAATATTTCAATCCTTATGAAGGAAATCAAGTATGATAAATTTATTAATGCAACAATTTCAAATATGAAAGGGAGTTTTGTGAAGTGATAAAAGCCTCCTAGAATGATTTCTTGAAATTTGGTACATTTATAATCAGAATAATGAGATTTTTAAGCTGAGCTGAAATCATGGTTCTGCATTTGTGATGTTGATCAATGCAATATTAATTTTTTCAATGAAAATAGTCTTCGAATGAAACTTACTTTGAAATCTCTCTGGTGATGCTAATTATAATGTTAAAAGCATTTTCTTCATCTTTATCCTACAGCTCCCCTTTCTCCCGAGGTGGTTGCTCTGTTACTTTTTTCTTTACGTTATTGGTGAGTCCGGGTGCCTGGCAGTCCTTGCTTGACCAGTGAAGGACAAGGCAGGCTGCTCTCGTGGCTGGAATGAGTTTCCCTTTGCATTTGTGTGTATGTTTGCCTCACAGGTCTGTCCCCAAAGGCACGGGGCCCCCTCTGCATCCCATGGAAGTGGCAGGGCCTGTTGACAGATTAACATGTTTCCCTTTCATCTCTGCGCTCTCTCTCTCTCTCTCTCTCTCTCTCTCTCTCTCTCTCTCTCTCCCTACAAGAGCAAGAAGACAAGGAGAAAGGAAGCATTTGGATCATCTTCCAGGCGCAGAGAGAGACTTGGGCCACGCTGGCTCAAGTAAGCTCTCCCACGGAGGCAGGCATTGCTGTCCCCACTTTGATCACTAGGACTCACCCCTAGCATATTCAATAGTTGTCTTAAGAGTGGACATTAGGTTCTGTTGGGCTGTGACAAGGATAGAAGCTTAAAGAAGGAAATACTCAAGATCAGAAACTGCCAGGTGCCTCGTGGCCTCGG